TCAGAATACCGGGCCGGCCGCTCAGCTGTTCTCTCCTGCAAGGCCTTACCTGTTCTTCGCTCCAGCTCTGCACAGTCTTCCCGCGCTGGCTTCTGTGACAGCCGGGTGCCCACTGCGCATGCGCTGTGCTTTGTGAATGGTCCAGTGTTTTCTGGGACACATGACAGGTCCCAGAAGGCTCCGGGCCATTCACAAAGCGCAGCGCTTCTCGCGCATGCGCAGTGGGCACCTGGCTGTCACAGACGCCGGCGCAGGAAGAAGAGGGAAAGACAACGCCGCAGAAGTGGGAGCGGGTACCTGTCAAATTCAGGTACCCGCTCTCCCTCCCTCCCCAAAGGTCAGCAGTCTCTGGTCATCTCCTGCACTGTCTGCAGTCTATGGTCATCCCCTGCACTGTCTGCAGTCTCTGGTCATCTATACTGTGTCCCTGGTATTTTCCCTGTACTATGTCCGCAGTCTCTGGTCATCTCCTGTATTATGTCCGCAGTCTCTGGTCATCCCTGTACTGTGTCCGCAGTCTCTGGTCATCTCCTGTACTGTGTCCGCAGTCTCTGGTCATCTCCTGTACCGTGTCCGCAGTCTCTGGTCATCTCCTGTACTGTGTCCGCAGTCTCTGGTCATCTCCTGTACCGTGTCCGCAGTCTCTGGTCATCTCCTGTACTGTGTCCGCAGTCTGTACTGGTCATCCCCTGCACTGTCTGCAGTCTCTGGTCATCTGTACTATGTCCACAGTCTCTGGTCATTCCCTGTACTGTGTCCACAGTCTCTGGTCATCTCCTGTACTGTGTCCGCAGTCTCTGGTCATCTCCTGTACTGTATCCGCAGTCTCTGGTCATTCCCTGTACTATGTCTGCAGTCCATTGGTTCAGAATATTTTCTTGTTTTTCGCCTCTAAAACCTAGGTGCGTCTTATGGTCAGGTGTGTCTTATGGAGCGAAAAATACGGTAAATAGATAGGTCGTGCAAGGAGAGCATTAATCAGAGAAGCAGCAAAGAGGCCCATGGTAACTCTGGAGGAGCTGCAGAGATCCACAGCTCAGGTGGGAGAATCTGTCCTCAGGACAACTATTAGTGGTGCCTTTATGGAAGAGTGTCAAGAAGAAAGACATTGTTGAAAGAAAGCCATAAATCCTTTTTGCAGTTTGCGAGACGCCATGTTGGAGACACAACAAACATGTAGAAGAAGGTGCTCTGATCAGATGAGACCAAAATTTAACTTTTTGGACTAAAAGCAAAACACCATGGGGTTTATTTACTAAAGCTGGTTCACTCAGAATCTCGTGCCTTCTGCATGGAAACCAATCAGCTTCCAGGTTTTATTGCAAAAGCCTAATTGAACAAGCTGAGGTTAGAAACTGATTTGCTACCATGCTCAGGTGTGCGAGATTCTGAGTGAACCAGCTTTAGTAACTCTCCCCCCTATGTCTGGCGGAAAACTAACACTGAACATCACCCTGAACATACCATTCCCACCGTGAAACATGGTGGTGGCAGCATTATGTTGTGGGAATGATTTTCTTCAGCAGGGACAGAAGCTGGTCAGAGTTGATGGGAAGATGGATGGAGTCAAATACAGGCAATCTTAGAAGAAAACCTGTTATAGTCTGCAAAAGGCTTGAGACTGGGGTGGAGGTTCACCTTTCAGCAGGACAACAACCCTAAACATACAGCCAGAGCTACAATGGAATGGTTAGATCAAATCATATTTATGTGCTACTTTGTGTCGGTCTATCACATAAAATCCCAATAAAATACATTTCCGTTTTTGGCTGTAACATGACAAAATGTGAACAATTTCAAGGGGTATGAATACTTTTTCAAAGCACTGTATATTATTATTATTATACAGTATTATACAGCATTTTCTCTAAAAAATAGGTGCAGGAACTCCCCCCTTCTGAGTCACTTCTTATCTCTGCCCCCCCCCCTACTCACCTCCCAGTACGGCTCCTTTTAGAGAATACAGAGCCAAGTATAATTTTGTAGTGCTAAATAATTTGTATGTAATTTGTTAATGATAACAAGAAAAACAGAAAAATATATTCCCCCACAGCCAGCAACAATAGATCTCCCCAGCAACAATATATTCCTGCAGCAACAATGGACCCTCAAAACAAAACACCACCCAGTCAACAATAGACCCAAGCAGTTACAAACAAATCTCCCAGCAGCCAGTATCAGTAGACTCTCCAGCATCCAGCAACAATCGACAATAGACTACTCCCTCAATAGTAGATCCCTTCCAGCAATAATTGACCCCCATCAACAATAGATCCCCCACCAACAATAGATCCCCACAAAAAATAGATCCCCTTCAGTGACAATAGATCCCCCAGCAGGCAGAAGCAATAGGTCCTCCAGCAAACCCCAGCACCCCTTGCCGTCACATACATTCAATGCTGGAGGTGTTCCTCCATGTTCCCGCCGAAAAAAAAAAAGCCATATATATATATATATATATATATATATACACACACACAAACTGTATTTATTTTTTAAACCTCCCTCTTCAAAATGATCTAGAGCAGTGGTGTCAAACTGGTGGCCCTTCAGCTGTTGCAGAACTACATGTCCCATGAGGCATTGCAAAGCTGAGAGTTACAAGCATGACTGCCACAGGCAGAGGCATGATGAGACTTGTAGTTCTGTAACAGCTGGAGGGCTACTAGTTTTGCCTTGATCTGTTGGATTGATTTTTGCCACATCTGGAAGAAATTGGTTTTGCTTCCCTAAAAACTGCCAAGTGTGTGTGTCAGAATAAGGCAGAGCACACATGGGCAATTTTATGGCAATGTTACCATGCTACTAAAATAGTCTACAATTAACTGCTTCCTACTGCTACAGGGCGGCAGGGCTGCGCAATATTGCGTATATATGTGATTTTGTATTTCTGGGTAGGGGGCGCGCGCATGCCACGTGCACGCCCTACCTGCGCCACCTTTGGCGGCTTCAGCTGTCAATCACTGGGTCCCGGCCGGCGATTCTCTGCCGGCACCTGGCGATCGCCGAGTATCACTGATGGGGGAGAGGTCTGTATGTAAACAATACAGATCTCTCCCCTGTCAGCTCCAGCACACTGCTTTACAGTAAAGCCTGCTTACACAGAAACATACAGCACACAGTTAACCCTTTGATCGCCCCAGATGTTAACCTCTTCCTGCCCAGTGTCATTAGTACAGTGTCAGTGCTTTTTATTAGCACTGATTACTGTATTGGTGTCACTGGGGATGTCAGTGACACCAAGTCCGTTCCCCCCAGTGTCAGAATAAGTTGCTGATCGCCAGCATTACTAGTAAAAATTAAAAAAAAAATTCCAGTATATATACCGCCGTTTGAAAACGTTTTAACTTTCATGTAAACCAATTAATTAACCTCTTCCTGCCCAGTGCCATTAGTACAGTGTCAGTGCTTTTTATTAGCACTGATCACTGTATTGGTGTCACTGGGGATTTCAGTGACAGTTAGTTAGTGTCAGAATGCCCGAAGCAGTCCCGCTATAAGTCGCTGATAGTAGTATAAAATATATAAAAATAAAATTTCAGTTTATATACTGCCATTTGTAGACACTATAACTTTCACATAAATCGATTAATTTACACGTATTGGATTTTTGTAGCAAAATACATTTTGGCCTAAATTTATGACGAAATTTGATTTTTTTAAATTTTTTTACTGGATATGTTTTATAGCAAAAAGTAAAAAATATAGTGTTTTTTTTTTCAAAATTGTCGGTCATTTTTTGTTCATAGCGCAAAAAATAATAAACGCACAGGCGACCAAATACCACCAAAAGAGAGCTCCATTTCTGGGAAAAAAGGACATACATTTAATTTGGGTGCAGCGTTACACGACCGCGCAATTGTCAGTTAAAGTAAGGCAGTGCCATATCGCAAAAAACGGCCTGGGGGGGTAAATCCTCTGGAGGGCAAGTGATCGCCACACATACGGCTGCATGTAGAAGAGATCAATCCAAAAAAATTTGTAGCGAATAATCACTCCAACATGCTACACTCCATTTATTTAATACAGGCAATTATATAGCACAGAAAATTGACTTAGCACTCTACGTAATCTGTTCCCTATGTGTAGTGATCGACCGCTAATTACTTGCGATTAATTGTACACAATTTTAGCATCGTCATGCTATCATTTGCAGTGTGCACAGGCTGTTTGGAATTATTACAGATGACTTGTAGTTTTTTTTTATTATTATTATTTTTTTCTGTCTATGGCCAGCAGTAGGCTTGGTTGTGCAAGAGGTTCTGCAGCAGCTGAGGTTGTGCAGCCTTGCTGATTTTGATTGGCAGCTCACCCCTCTTTTTGGAGGACCCTGTGCCTGGCATCTGGGGACCCTCTGATTACCACTCTGAAGCCATAATCAGTCAAAAAAGGAAAGGCATAGGGAGCCGTGCAGGGAGGTGGGGGATCGGTGACAAGGGAGGCTTGGCAAGCAGCTCAATCAGAGGTGGCTGCTTGTCGTGTGACACACCCCCTGTGTTATTGGGTGCCTGGACGTCAGAGAGCTCCTGGGGAGGGCGAGAGACTGGATGTGCTCCGAGCTCAGTGACAGCCAGCTCGCTGGAAGCGCACGGCGACTCGAGCACAGTCAACAAGCGCACAGACCGACAATCAACAGATTGCGATGACATTGCCTGGAAGCCATCAGTGAGGAGGAGATCTGGGTGCAGCCAAGGATAGGATGGCAGCAACAGGGTGACTGCCAGCGCAGCAATGCCCATCCGAGCCAGATGTGGTGGGCTCACCATCGCGGGAACGCTGAGGAGGATGCACAGCAGCAGAGGAGCTGTCAATCATCCAAGGAGAGGTGCCTAGACCCAGAGAAGCATCTGATCACTGGGGTGCGGCTGCTCAGGGGGCTCATCTTCACCCATCCAGCAGCAGAGGTGGGTGCCCAGTGGCTAAGGGTGTGATCACCTTGATAAAAGGCAGAGGTGGGGGTCCAAGAGGGGGAGAGGACTCCATTACCAAAAGCTGGAGACATGACTGTGGTCTCAGGAGAGAACGTAGACGAGACCGTGGTGTCTCTCAGCGCCCTGGGGCAAGAGGGCTATGACCCCGAGAGGGCCACTCAGGACTGCTGCGAGAGGGTGGTCATCAATATCTCAGGGCTCCGCTTTGAGACCCAGCTCAGGACTCTTGCTCAGTTCCCCCAGACCCTGTTGGGGGACCCCAGGAAGAGGATGCGCTTCTTCGACCCCCTGCGGAATGAGTACTTTTTTGATCGCAATCGCCCATGCTTTGACGCCATATTATATTATTACCAGTCTGGGGGCCGGCTCCGCAGACCTGTTAACGTCCCCGTGGACATTTTCTTGGAAGAGATCAAGTTCTACGAACTGGGTGAGGAAGTCATTGAGATCTTTCGAGATGATGAAGGGTTCATTAAAGAGGAAGAGAAACCCTTGCCGGAAAATGACTTTCAGAGGCAGGTTTGGCTGCTTTTTGAGTATCCTGAAAGTTCAGGACCTGCCAGAGGCATTGCTATTGTCTCTGTATTGATAATTCTGATTTCCATAGTTATATTTTGCCTGGAGACGCTTCCTGAGTTCAGGGAAGAGACGAAACACACAGGTGAGCACCTGATGGCCAATGGAACCCAGTCCGCAAAAGACAGCCCCTTCACTGACCCTTTCTTCCTTATTGAGACTCTTTGCATTATTTGGTTTTCCTTTGAGCTCCTGGTCAGGTTTTTTGCCTGTCCCAGCAAGCCTGCTTTCTTCAAGAACATGATGAATGTCATTGATATTGTGGCCATTATCCCTTATTTCATTACCTTGGGCACAGAGCTGGCAGAACAGCAAGGTAGCAATGGGCAACAAGCCATGTCCTTGGCTATACTGAGGGTAATCCGCTTGGTGAGGGTCTTCAGGATATTCAAGCTATCCAGGCATTCCAAAGGGCTCCAAATCCTGGGCAAAACCCTGCAAGCCAGTATGAGGGAATTGGGTCTTCTCATATTTTTCCTCTTCATTGGAGTCATTTTGTTCTCCAGTGCTGTCTACTTTGCAGAGACTGATGACCCAGATTCTCTCTTCACCAGCATCCCGGATGCCTTCTGGTGGGCTGTGGTCTCCATGACCACAGTAGGCTATGGTGACATGTATCCGTTGACCATTGGCGGCAAGATAGTAGGTTCTTTGTGTGCTATAGCTGGCGTGCTAACCATCGCCCTCCCAGTCCCTGTCATTGTCTCCAATTTTAACTACTTCTACCACAGAGAAACTGACCATGAAGAGCAGTCCCAGTACACCCATGTCACCTGTGGACAGCAGCCCTCTTCGTTTGGAGACCTAAAAAAGAGTGAAAGCAAACAGTCCTTTAACAAATCAGATTACATGGAGTCAGAAGACCTAGAGGATGCCAAATTTTCTCACTTTACCACCAACCAACACTATACTGAACAAAAAAAGTTAACTGAGGTATGACCTCTTTGGTAAGTTCCTCAAACTGTTCGTCAAAGCTAGAAGGTCTTGATGTTAACGACCTCATTAATAGTGCTGGCCATGTAGAAGAGGGTCATCAATGCACAGTGGATAGTTAAGCATATACAGTAGAGAATGAAAATCCTAGCTGTAAGGTTGTCTTAGATTTACTATATTGCTAGTGTTTAACCAACTGTGAAGATTGCTGGGTTGTATTAAAAAAAAAAAAAAAAAGTCGGTACATCATCTATGGCTCTGCACATGGTGAAGGTGACTTTGTAACCTAGTTCAAACAATTACCTCCAAGCAAATGCCCCCTTTGCGTGGTCTGTAAGTGGCTTCTTGTGAGGACTATTTATTCGACAATGTGTTTCCATCAGTGTTTCCCAAGGATTATTACACCGCGCAGTAGCTGGGAAATGCCATCCTGTAGGAATCACACACTAGCACATTATTAACATGGCATAAGCTGCTACGGATAGATTTTTGCAACAGTGCCATTCAATGACAAGAACTCAATAACACAGTGTTCTTTGGGGACTTAGAGGAGACACAAGGGCTGCAGAAGACCAGCTGTTGTGGAGCAGTGACGAAAAGTTAAGAACGCATTTCCTATTTTATTTTTTTTATTTTTGGCTTGGCTTTTGATCTGCCATTTATCCTTATTTATTTGCACAAACAAGGGAGATAAAAATTCCAATTGTCTCCGAAATGGAAATATCAGTGTTATCATAACAAAGCCAATACAGAGGGAACCTGAAGATTCCCAATTTTGACTAAGCAACTGGTCCTTATTTTGTCACCTCTGTGTACAAACATCTGCAGTTTTTGCACGTTCTCTTAATTTGTTTACATCATTGCCTTGCGTGGCATTTTTTTTAACCCTTTGGCTGCTAGGGATTCCTGCAAAACAATCCTCTTGGAAAAAAAGGGTTAATTTTGTTTAGCCATTTTTTTTAATTTTAACCAAATATTTTCCTTATCTGTAAGTGCCTTCATGTGTAATGTCAGAATTTTGGGTTGTGTATATTTTATTATTATTATTATCATTTTTTTGCATTGACAAGACTTTTGACCAGATGATTAAAATATATCAGTGGTTAAGATGAACCTTTATCAAGGGATCAGAGGTCATCAGGCTGGAAATGAAATCATACTGTGCTCTCAGTGGATTATGTTGCATGAATGTTATAGTAGCCATACATGCACTTAAATATATTATTTTTCATTAATGGCTGTCTATAGGCTTCGGTTATTTGATTGCCCTATTGAGTCATTGCTTGAATTCTGGTGGTGTACAGGTTACCTTGTCAATAAGTGTGATGTTTTGTACTCGCTGACATTGCACAGTACCAGGACACTATGGTCACACAAGAGCTTTTCATGGGTTATGAGATCAAATTGTCTTCTGCCAAAAATACTACCGGTCTGACAGCAGCAAAGCCTATCCAATTGAGTTCAATCATCTGCATTTCCTATTGAGTTCCATCATCTGCTTCAATGAATAATTTTCATGCTGTTGTTTTCATTTTACGTTCACCAGCATAAAATGCTTTTCGTGTGACCTTGCCATCAAAGCTTTGTTAAAAGAATATGTAAACCCTGTCGCCAAAATCTCATATTCTTTCACATGTTCATGCAAGTGTTTTTAAATCGGCAGCTTTCATTAGAATAATACCTGGTGATGCTGCTATGGAGGTCCAGGTCCAGACACTGTTAAAAGGTGACAACCCTCTGTCTTTGTTTACCAATTGTGCTCCTGCATTGTCACCCTGTAGCATAGGTTTCCAATGGAGACTACAAGTGGCAGTTTCAAAACACAATACAGGCAATGGTCCACTGTTGACTCCATCAGAAAACCTGCCCTGAGTAATGGCTGCAAAATATCAGCAAAACCAAGATGCAAGAATGGATGTAAAAAAAGTTTTTGTTTACAAAAAATGAAATTTTTTATGATACGCAGGGGATGATTTACTGGTGCACTCAGAATCTGGTGCAGCTGTGCATGGTAGCCAATCAGCTGCTAACTTCAGACAGTTCAACTAATGCAGGCCATCGATGGTTTCAACATCGGCCGATTTTTCGTCCGAAAAACGAAACATCGTTCGTTCTGTAATCCAATGTTGCCACCAATGATTTTGAAAATTGGCTGTTTTTCACAAATTTTCCAGCATGCCCGATAAACGAAATTAGGAGGAACCACGAAAATTGGCCGATGCCATTGCCCCACTAACAGTGCGAAAATCGGCCGATTATTCTTTTGCACGAAAAATTGGCCGATTTTCGAACTGTCTATGGCCTGCACAAGCTTTCACAAAAACCTGGACGCTTATTGGTTACTGTGCTCAGCTGCGCCAGATTCTGTGTCACCAGCTTTACTAAATCTCCCCCACAGTGTTTTAACAAGCTATATATCTTTCAGTTGGGGTTTCCATCCACCTTAGAGTGGTATTAAACACAAAAGCAAACATTTATTATATTGCAGTTTATAGCTTACCAATTCTTAGATGTGGCAGCTGCATTAGTTTTCTTTTGTATGCTTTCTTTCACTTCACCTGTGATCCAGCCAGTAAGTCTGTTGCTATTCCAAAGAACAAGCTCTCTCTTTCAGATCTAGCAGTTAGAGCACCCTTTCTCAAACTTTTCAACATGGAGGAACCATTGAAATAAGTTTTGGGTCTCAGGGAACTCCTGCTAAATGTTACTATACCCACAACTCATGATTAGTGTGATGGTCAGTGGGAAGAATGCTTCTCATGTTTGTGGTCATTTAGAAGAATTACCCCCTTACAGATAATTAAAAAGAACAATGGTGTCAGTGGGAGCTTATCTGAGAGGCAGAAAGTGCTCATCGCTCTAGGAACCCCTAGCAATCTCTAGAGGAACCCCGAGTTAAAGGGTTGACACAAAACTATTCACCACTGACAGGTATGCTTACAATGATTAGTTTTTATTTATGTAAAACCTTTTTTTCAAAAGAAAAAAAAATGTTTGCTGTAACTGCTTATTTGTTAGTGTATTGAAATCTGCTAGTACATCTAAAACTAATCTCCCCCCTAGACCAGCCTTTCTCAACCTTTTCAATACAGAGGAACCCTTTCTAGTCTCAGGGAACCATTGCTAAGAATTACTATATCTACAACTCAGGATACATTAGGGTGATGGTCAGTGGGAAGAATGCTCCTCATGTTTGTGGCCACTGGGAAGAATTACCCCATTACAGATAGCTAAAAAGATCAATGGTGTCAGTGGGAACTTATTTGAGAGGCTGAAATTGATCGTTGCTCAAGGAACCCCTAGCAACCTCTGGAGCAGGGGTCTCCAAACTTTCTAAACAAAGGGCCAGTTTACTGTCCTTTGGACTTTAGGGGAGCTGGACCGTGGCCATTGGGAGTATAAAAGGTCCTGACGTCAGTTGGAAAAAACAATGCCCCATTTTTGGTGTCATTGGCAGGGATTGTGCTTCATCATTGGTGTCACTTGGCCCCATTGTTAGTGTCACTGGGAGAAATTGGGCCACGATGTTGTTGTCAATTGGAGGAATTGTGCCTCTTCATTGGTGTCAGTGGGGGGAATTATGCCCCATTGCTGGTATCAGTGGATGAAATAGTGCCCCAAGGGCTGGATAAAAGCAAGCAAAGGGCCTCATCTGGGCCCCGGGCCGCAGTTTGAAGACCACTGCTCTGGAGGAACCCTGGATGAGAAACCATGCCCTAGACTGACAATGTCTGCTGTCCAGAGGTGCCCCTGTGCTCCTTCATCTGCAGTGGGGGACAGACTAATACAGGTGTGTTACTGCCCAGATCACCAGGTGAAAACAGAGGGGGAAAAAAAGCCTAAAAACGAAAACTAATGCAGCCACCACACCTAATGATTGGTAATCTGCAATATATTATATTTTTTGGTTTTGTGTTTATTAACACTTTACAGATGAGCTCTACCCAGAACAAATATTTTAGCTCTACATAAAAAACATGATGGCATCTGATAGCTCTCAGGGACTCCAGTGGTGAGATCACATCTTCATAATATGCAGTTCTGCTCATGTGTTACCGCCATCGCAAAGTCAAATGATAATGTCATTTCTTGATGGACTCTATATAATGTAAAAACAAATCTCTTGGGAGTTCTGCCGCTACATGCCTCATAACTCGCTGAGAAGGGAAATAGGGACACCCTGTAGCGCAATATATGGAAGTAAAGGACAAACCTTCACCATGTTCCAGATAATGCATACAATTTAGGTGTTTAGAGACAAACCTTTTTTCTTTTTTGGTTAGGTAATGGCTATTTCCCAAGTAAAGGGATATCCCTCTTGGTTAGCTGTCATCAAAACAGGAAGATTTCTTTTCACCTGTTCTGGTGACAACTAAAACATTTTGGACTTCCCATCGCTTTCTCTACCAAAGACAGCGGTCACCAGGCAAAATTGTGTTGGTGAATTTATGGGCTGATAAAAGAGCAAAATAGCAACACAGCGACTTTTTCACAGGCTTGCAATCGCTAAATATTTGAATGGCATTGCATTCACATACTGATGGATTTGATGCTTGTTCAGTGAAAACAAATGTCATCCAGATCTCCCAACATCATTGTTGTAACCTGAGGATTAATCTGGGGAGGACATATTTTTTTAAATAAAAGCAGTAATAAACCCAAAAACCAAAATGTATTAAATTGGAGCTTACTAGTTCTTAGATATGGTAGCTGTATATGATTTCTATTTTGAGGCTTATTTCTTTTATTTTCTCCTGGTGATCCAGCTAGTAAGACCTCGTTCACACAAGGTGAAAAATGCTGTACCCCATGCAGGACCGTTCACAGGGATGCACAGGTGTTCTGTGCAATGTGATTTCCGAGTGTGTGCGGATGCATGTTCCTGATCTCACACTGGGACGCACACCCACAACATCGATGTCATATTGGGACACAGCGGCTGTGTCTGTGCACCCGCTCTGTCCCAGTTGACATCGATGGACTGTCTGCCTAGGTATGCATGGAAC